TTCTTAAAGTATTTGTAGTACATAAATAAACAGTTTTTACGTACTTTAAAATAATTATTAAACAGTAATTATAAATGATTATACCCAATTATATAAATAATAATAGTTAATTATAAATATAAGACAAATATTAAATTGAAAGGACTAAATAAATACAACTAATGTAAAACTTTATGAAGCACAGTATAAATACAGTAATTACCTAAAAAATCTTTTTGTGTGTGATATACTTTAAAACATGGAATTGCACATAATGGGGCATTACAGTCTTTGCATACGTAGTGTTTCACGGCGAATTTTTTTTTCCATTAGCATCATTTTTGCTGCAACATACCACACATCGTCTAGTAGGTTCTTTCTTTTTTTCTGTTGGGAATATAATCAGGAAGTGATGCTGACAATCTTAAAGTATTCGAAACTGTTTCAGCATTTTAATTTCAAATGTCTATGAGTGTGATATTTCTCAACAATTCTTTCAGCTAGTTCAATTCTGAATTCCAAATTTGATTTTTATTTTCCCCCCCTTTTTTTTCACAGCTGAAAGCATTAAATTGTTATGCAATAAATAAAAATATATTTTCTTTGTAAAAGATCGGGTAAAGTATTCTTTGCTCTTAATTTATTAAATTTTCGCAGCAAAATGTTGGTTTCCGTAACAATAGATTTATAATCTCATCAGTAAAAACAGCTCAAATACTCTAATGGATCAGAAATATTTGTCGCAAGCTTTCGCCTACTCACCAGTAAAACTAAATCGGCTAGGAGCGTGAGAACTTGAATCAATTATACACCACTGTCGAACACTCGAAAAATCTTCCTCATCGCTTGAATCGTCTTCTGAGCTTGAAATACTGTGAACAAAGTCTTCATCAGATTCAAAACTTGATAAGCTTTCTGTATCACAATCATAATCATCATCATAACTATCTAACTTTCGCTTTTGAGCCATTTTACTGTACAAACACCCTAAAAACCGCGCCAAAATACGTATAAAATGAACAAGGTAAAAAAAAAAAAAAAAAAAATCCACCTTCATTATGCAAAGAAATTCATGGAACTCGTACTGCCATCTGTAGACAGTAAAACTAACTAAATTCGTGTGAAACACAATCAGTGCAGAATAATAATGGCGACCGAAGTCAGCTTGTCAGCGCGCATTGAGGAAAAATTTCACTGCGCGAGTAGAGCTCGTTACTAACCATTTCAGTCAAAATCTTGCTGCCGAGCGGAACTCATTTGCGCGCATTATGAAGCACGATTCAATTGCAAGCTGAACTCGTTCATAACCATCAAAGGGTTAGTCCACCTGGTTGCCTCGCCCATATGTTGTGTAACCACAGTTTCAATCCAGCTTCGTCCATCCAACCTTTCAGATGAACATGAACAATTACACCCGTTGGAAGTTTTTCTTTCGGATGAGTTTTTCTTTTGAATATGGAAAATGGCAGTAGTTTTGTGCATCGCACAAGTTAGAATACGTATTCGGGTTTTTCATGCCTGTGGTTTTTATTTATTGATTAGAAACTTTAATACTCACAGTCTGTTGATATAATCAACAGGTTGTTCGGTCCTGTAAGTACTTATAAGTATTATATAGAAAAGAAAATAAAGGCCCTATGGTGCTATTTTCTTTAAACCCTATTTTTTTTTTTTAGTTCTTATTTTGCTTGTGGTTTTTTTAATGAACCGCTTTTTTCCTGTACCCGAAACTATAAACAATTGGTTTTCCTTCCAATATGGAATGTCACTGGTGACTCATATCCGGAAATAGCTTTACCCTTCTGGCAAACTAACTGGGTGGCACAGAGTACAGACAAGTGCCTGTTGTTCGATTGGTCAAAGAATGGAAGCAGTAGAAAATCGGACATCGGCATTCTTTTCCTCCACCCAAACACACTCGTTTGAATTCTTTGCATTCTCTTCGCTTGTCAGTCATATTCGGTTATTATGACGTTATGCTTAATTATTAGCATATGTATGAAGTTATAATAACATAGTTGCAGTAACTGTGAAGTATAGTAAAATTCCAAAAGGCTTGTGTTAACACAGATAGCGGTCTAAGGAATATATCATAAGGCTTAAATAAAGGGAAATAACTAATAGTCAAAATATTTTATTTTTTGGCCAATACTAACCGTACGAAGATGGGAGTTCTCCTTTTTCCACAAAATCTGAATTGAAACGGTTAAGTTCGCGCAAAACAAGCAGCGACTTTTTTTTTGGGTTTCATCGCCAATCTGATTGAATATTACAAAGTTGCAGTCACTAAACCAACCAAGAAGATTCTTTTCCGGAATTTAATGGTCTTTGAAATTAGAATTAAAAACACCCCAGTTATTTAGTTCTTTATTCCCCCAATACAGGCAGCTGTTGATTCCAATTGCGTAATATCACGCAGGGAAGAATTACGGCGCACGTATTGCGCAATAAATGTTCTGTCCAAGATTTGTTTATGAACACTTAAAAGAGTTTTACTGTGCTTGCTAAGCAGAATATTTTTCAGTTCCATTGGTTTATTTTTATATGATACACATATCGAAATGTCAAAAGCATTTATTTAGCGGAAAAATCTAAAGAGCGACTACAGTCTACCCCTCCGCTCCTCTTTTTCAAGTTACGCTCGACTGTTCAAATATTCGCCAATTTGCAAGTATGCGGGTTAGTTAAGCTTTTACTGTTAAAGGATAATTGTATGAAGCAAATTTCTGTCTTCTGATTTCAGAAATGTTCCTCTTTTTTACTTTAATTATACTTTGCTTGCAATATCTGTTAAGGGAAAACTGATATACAATGAAAATTTAGAAAATGTTCAGAATTTAGATTTAAATTATTTAAATATCAATATGAGTGGAAAAATAAATTGTATTTATTATTAGGTTCCAAGCAAATACAATAAATATGCCTTATTATTATTTATTTTCTCTATTTTGAACTGAAATTTCATCATTAAATCTTGTAATATAGTTTAGTTCTGCATAGTTTTTTTTCTCTCATTGTAAACTAGTTCTGTAAATTGAACTGTTATTTAAAATCAAAAAAAGAAAAAAGTAATTATTTTCCATGGTTGAGGTAATGCTTATTCTCTTTAATAAATACTGCATTTCTCATGTTTTAAATTACAAGTCTAATTTTTAAGGTTATGCAGTTGTGTATAATGTAATTAGACAGGTGCTTATTATTTTTTTTTTCTTAAAATGTACTTGAAAAGTGCTTATAGGTGCTTATTTTTTTAACTAAAATGTGGCTATGAACCCTGTCAAATGTGCGTGGAATTTCATCCACACTTCTATCTTACTGAGCTCAAAAGAAGTTTTATTGCACGCATTTATAACAAACCTATGAAATGCCAGTATTTTTTCTTCATAATCTGCTGTCATTTTCTGTCCAATAGTTGTTTTTGTGCACATTGATAAGCCTTGCCTTTTCATGAACCTGTAGCACCAGCCCTCAGACCCTGAAAAGTTCTGATTCCCATGTTTTTCTGCAAATCCTTTGGCCTCATTGATTATCATTTTTGGCTGGAACACTTATCCTAGATTTCTTCTTATCTATCACCTACATTTTTACAGCATTTTCAAGTTCAGGCCAAGATGGAGCTGGGCATCGAAGGTTTTGTTTTTTAGCAGCCTTCAGTTGATCTTCCTGCAGTCGCCAAGTACATATCATTTTTTCGGTAGTGGTGGACCGAAATGCCTTGTTGCTGCTCTGTTTCCATGCACTTTGGCTTAGTTTAACACTCCTAGTTTATACTGAATTGTATAGCTTAATCTCTTGTTTCCTGTAGTCATATTTTCCAGGGTATTTTTTTAAAACAAATAGCTTTAAGCACCGATACCAACACGTTTTTACAGAGTAGCACCGATGCCGACACTTGTGTCAGCTGAGTCAAAGAAAGTCTATGTAAAGAAGGAAAGGCTCCATAGACATAATGTGACCATCGAACCTGTTTGAACTTCGACATCAGCTTCGAGCTTTGACGCTTTTTGGTGACAGATATTTCACGCATGCGCAAAATAATTTTGGCAGATGTAGAAAAAGTTACATGTGTCTAGTCCTTTATCCGGGTTAAAAATAGCATTCAATATTGAAAGTTAACCTGTGTCCTTCACGTATAAGACGCAGGTAACTTTTTTGAGACCGAATTTAGGAAAAAAAGTGCATGGTATGTGCCGTCAAATACGGTAATTAATCCTCACAATTTTATGCTGATAAATGTGTCACATTTTCAAAAATTTTGAATTTGCAAAATGGTTGTTTTCCATCTTTGTGCTGAAGTATTCCAAGCTATTTGCACATCTTTAGACAAATCTAAAAACAATAAAATACCATAAACTGTTTAAAAAAACAAAACTATTTTATTTTTTACATGGCTTAAAGCATTTTTATCGCTAATTGTTCAAGCACATGGCATGCTTTTCAATGAGATGCTGTCAAGTCATACCCAGTCTGTTATCTATAACCTATGTTATGCAACAAGGAGTTTTACACTCTTTTTACACATTAGTAATGATTTTAAGAGGCTTTCTGAATACTGAATGTTTTCACAGAGAAAATAATTGCATGTTTTTATTTTAGAATGTGTATATTGTAAAAGATGCTTCAAATGAAAAGTACAAAATTTTAACTGTTTAAGCAAAAGTGAAAATTATTTTTAAAAAAATTATGCTGTGTTATCAATGTAAGGCAGAAATAACAGTTGAATATGGAATGGAAATGAAGGCCTTGTTTTCCTATCTGAAAAATTAAAATTATGTCATGGAATCACTCTATAATATATAACCACTCTATAATAAACAAATATGCTGAATGAGGAAAATATTTGAGAACAGCAGTGTACAGGAATTTAGAGCAAGGTTAGTCATGAGCAATATTATAGCTCTTTGATTTGGAATCTTTGTCCATATAAAGCTAGACTATTTGGTTTTTACATTTTTTAATTTATGTGTAATATTAATTACAGCAATTTTTCTTTCTATTTGAAAATTACTCTCCCCTGATAGATTATTTTATCATATTGTAATTACTGGTATCAAAAGAATTTATGTGAATTTTAATATCACGTTAGATATTGTGTAAAAAATTAATTAATTTTTTTATTTTCTGTTGGAAAATGATGTACAAGTTTTACTAAATATGTACAATTTCATAGTATCTGTTTCATTTATCAAGATTTGAAAAGCGCAATTTTTCATTTAATAAAGTCAAATATCAATTTCAAACAAGAAAAACTTAAAATCACATTTTATATATGATGTTCACAATATGAACATGAAAATATTTTTTCACCTTCATTTTCTGAGTTCAGTGCTGAACTTGATATGTCAATGTGACTTCACATCAATATTTAAAAAGAAAGCTTTTTTTTTAATGAATACATTTTAAGTTGAAATAATGATTAATAATGTGCATTATCCTACAGTTAACAAAATTGTAAGAAATGCTTTTATAATAATATCATTTAAATCTTAGAATATTTTAATAATATACTAAGTGAATTTTATATATATATATGTTTTGTTTTTGTGTAACTATAATGTATTTTTAATTCCTAGGGAAGTTCCTAATTATCAGTCAGATAACCTTCATTTAGAACTTTGGTAAGTTATCAGATATTTATGTAACTGTAAATTAATGCAAATAAGAACTAAATTAAAGCATTTTATATAATATTTGTTTTATTACACCTTTTACTTAATGTATTTGCAGGGCACTATATCCTGTTGTTGTGAACCAAGTACAAAAAATCATGTGAGATCTTAATTTTTTATATATTTTGTAAATGCTCATTAATTTTTTTTAATTTATGAACTACAGTCAAAAGTCTTTAATCCAAACTCGTCGGGACTTCAGCGATTCCGGATTATCCGTTTTTCCGGATTATAGATCATCAATTTAAATCTGGTAAGATGGCATGCAGAAATTATAAAATTAAAAGTATACAACCATAATTTATGAAATAAAGAGCAATTATGATCTAAAATTTACCAAAAAAAAAAAAAGCTTAATATTTATTTGTTTACTTTATTAAACATTTCTTTCAACGCGCGCCTGCGTAAAGCATACATTACGCATAGTCGAAATTAGAAAATTGCAACCAGAAAACTATTTGATCTGTATTTGTGATATTTATAATGACGAGGAATTTGATTTAAATCATATCAAAGACGGAGTACATCGAGATGAAATACCACATTTAGTAAAGAATTATAAGCCGAATAAAATAAAAACATCTGCCCTAAAGATAAGGATAGTGCTGACAGATCAACTTTCAGTTCATTGTGCGCCGTGATGTCCCCCCTGCCCCGCAGAGCAGCATGAAATTGCTAAACAGATTTCGGAATGGTTAGAGAAACAAAGGATATGTCTTTATCCATTTTTTTTGCAGCAATTCCACTTTTTGTTTGATGGACATCGAAACATGCTTTCGCTTTGTAGATCCTTCGGCAGCTCCAGAATCAGAAATTCTTTTTGACATAATCGAAAGTTCAAGCTCACTTTTATAAAATTTCTCTAACAGTCTGCAAAAAATAATAAGCCGGATCCAATTCGAAGATTAAGAAACAACACAATCTGCAGCAGTAACTGAAATAGATAAATAGATAATTTTAGCTTAGCTTATACCGTTTGTTATACGTTAAATGCATATGCGCATGCGTAAATGCATATGTGCGTGCATAAACACATATGCGCATAATATATACGCATGCGCAGAAAGTTTGTATATTTGAGGTCCGGATAATAGATCATTCTGGATTATTGACGTCCGGATTAAATACTTTTAACTGTACTATTTTTGATTGCATTGCAAAGAGTATATATACAAGTAGCATAATATATATATGTATGTATGCCAATTAGTTATTGAAAATTTTTCCTAGAATGTTACACTCCATAAAATGTCTGGTAAGTTCTTTCAGCAACTATATCTGTATGTCATAATAATGATCATATAATGGTATAATTTATGTGTATAAAATATATTTTTTTTTATCTGCTTACAAGCTCACTTACTGTTTTAAAAAACTTATTTCTCAGTATAATGCAAATAAGCATTATACATTTTTTCACTTATGATTAGTTGTTCATCATGGGTTTGCCTTAGTATACCATGCATTATGCCCTTCAGTAATATCCACATATTACTTTAAATGGAAAGAAATATTCTCCATGTCTTCCTTTATGAGATGGGTGAGAACACTGAATATGATTTCACAGATATTGTTTTCAAGCTTATTAGTGATCTGCTGCCTGTTTAGATTTTTTCTTGCTACTTCATGAAAAATAGGTGCATGGTATCAGGTCTGGATTTTATAGAGGTCATTTTGTGAAACTGCTAGTCAAACATCTGTGAAAGTATTCATTGATCTAGTTCCTAATAGTGAACACCAAATATAGTGATTAATAGTCTTGCATAAATGGTAGACCAGAAGAATGCAGAAGTTATCAGCCACACAAAATTTTGTAACATTTTTAAGTAACTATCAGTGTTCTTGACGTCTTGTGTTAGACAGAATTCAAGACCAGTCACATTCCAGGTGATACCACACTGAGCTGTCATCACATTTAGCTTGTTCTGCATGCTTTCAGCCATCTTCTAGAGATTATTATATGCACAGTAATGAGATTATTGGAATAAATAAAACATCCAAGTAAAACTCAGCCTTCTCACTCCAAAGAATGTTTTCAAATAAATATGGTTAATTTTCATTTTAAATATGCAGGTTTCATTTGACAAAGTTTGCATCTATCATTCTCTTCTTATAACATTTATCTTGGAAAGATCATTGCATTATGAGGTTTTAACGGTCAATAATGTCTCTGTGGAGAGCAATTCATAAAAACATAACATGCATTCAGAACAATGTGTACTATATATACCATTTATCAAATTTTATGATCACGAAATTTAACTGTGTATATGGAAAGAAAAAAAAAAAAAAAAGAAAGAAAAGAAAAAGAAAAAAAAAAAAAAAAAACATTCACACCTTGTAAGAGGACTAAAGTGCTTAAGTAAACATGGGGAGAGGTGGGGGCTAGGTGTGGGTAAAAGGGAAACAGAAACTTCGAATAAATGCAGCGAGTGTCACACAAATTAAATGAATTATCTTTAAATACCTACTTTTCACCACTTTTCATTCAAAAAGTTCAGTATTTCACGTTTAATTGCTAATGTTGGTAAATTTCACATTTATTTGGTAATAGTGTTAAATTTTACATTTATTTGCATCTATTTCATAAATATGAAAATTATATACCCCTAATTATTACATGAAAGTGAAATATCCGGTCCTCACCTCAATACAGAGGTATCACCGGAGCCATAGGCCAAAATGTTAACTAATGATCCAGCAAAAGCTAAAGAGTAACATCAGAATTTAAAGGGAATTCAGAATCCTAGCAATGAATTTTGAAGTCCTCTGACCAGAGGATGTGTTGACCTCGCCAACATCTTTATTAAGAATTAAATACAAGTTTTACGTTGATCAAATCTATAATACAATAATATATAGTAATAAAGATACAATCAAGGTTGAGATATAATATTAGCAAGTAGGAATACAGTGTTACAAAGTAGAAAAAATACATATTTTAATGCTTTTAAGCATACAATATATATAATAAATCAAGTACTGACATTTTATACATATAAGTATTATGATGAAGAATAGATTGTATTTTCATTGACATACAGAAAATCCATGAGTTTTGAAAGTTGAGATCGACCCTTTTCTAACAGAACAAGTTTACAAAGTAGATCGATATTCAATCTTTGTGGAAATAGTTCTCTATGTCTACTGTCCAAGCTAGGGCAGTCTAATATCATATGAATTGCGTCCGCGGAGTCTAGACCACATGAACATCGACATTGTGATTCTTTTATCTTGAATCTATTGCAATAACAGGGAAAGGCTCCATGATTTGTTAAGATTTGATTGATGAAAAAATCATTAAAATGTCTTCTTTCTGAGATTTTAGGAAGAATCTTAAAAGTGGATCTGCTTGTATCTTCGTCTTGCCATTGACGTTCCCACAATACAAGAGCTTTCTCTTTGGCTTTACACACTATGGTGCTAATTGGGATCTTGCAGTTTATGCGATTGGAAGAAGAAATTCCATTCTTTGCAAGTTCATCTGCCTTCTCGTTACCTCAGACCCCTAATTATTACACCTGGATAAAAGATTACCATATTTTGTACTTTGTAGTAGTTTAATTTCTGTTTCTGTACCCAGTCAATAAGTGATTTCATAGCATTCAAAACTGCATAAGAAATGGCATACATTGTAGTGTAAAATACTGCAATATAACTTACTCAGAAAAAGTGACTTTTCACTCACCCTGTACAGTCTTGAGATATTTTGATGAAAGGGAAAGAAATTAACATCTAGTTAAATGTTATACTTAATTCTGTGCTTAACACCATTCAGAAGTCAACTAAACAGGTTTTACATTCAACATTGTTAAATAAATTAATTTTGAAAATAAATTTTGATTGCTTGTTTTGCAAGATGGGAAATATTGTTAATGATTCATAGGTGAAAAATGCCAACTTTGCGACTGATGATATATATATGTGTGTGTGTGTAATTTTGGAAACATTGAATGTAAGAACATTATGATGTAGATACGCAGAAATGCCAATGGCGTAGGTAATTGTTGCTTAGAGCGTCCATCCATTTTGATGAAGAATAAACAGTCGAGCCCAATTACATTCCGTATTTTATTTATATTCACTTGTGGCCACAATCACTTGGCACTCCAATGGTGCCCACTTCCAGAACATTCACAATTTTGATACTATACCGGTAGTAGCAACACATAGATGATTGCAGCAAAGTGTCTTAACATGATGAAAACTTATACCAGAAAAGAGAGTGTCACAGTACTTCAGAGGAAGAAGGGAGGAAGTCAAGTTTCAGTTTGAGTTAGTTTTGGTTTACAATTATTTTGATTGGGCAAGATATATCTGCAGTAAGCATTATGTAAGATTGCATGATTAATTTGAATGATGCAGTTTAGACTTATGGTGCTATTTTAAGCCATTTAAATTTAGAAGTTTGCTTTCATATTTTTATCTTACATATATATGTAAGGAAAATAAAAAATATGTAAAAGATTAAATTAGAAACATAAATTTTACTTCTCAATTCTCAAATTAGTAACCCCTCTCTGCACTGTGTCATTTCTAGTTAATCCATGCCATATGACATATATAGCACTATTCTAACATAGGTACATAATTCTGGTGATGTTAAATGGAACTAAAACTCAAGCAGCCAATAGTAATTTTACAGTAATATTAACTATCCAATCAAAATGCACTGAGAACCAAAACTAACTCAGTCTGAATTAAGATTTCACTCTGAACATAATGCACTTGCTTTCCACGCTTTGGTCTAGCTGGACTGCAGTCTGTCTGTTCCTCCTTTCTTATTGCAAAATAATCTAAAATGTAAGCTTTTTGGAATAGGCACAATTAATGTGCCAACGTGTTTGTGGCCGTAACAGTTTGCTGAAATAAAAAAATGAATACTTAATCTGCCTTTGCCTCCAATTTCTTATTCATTATGGATCAACACTTCTATGCCATCAAAATTCCTGCTGGTCATTACTTCTGAGTTTGTTTTTATCACACATATATATTAATTTTTTTTTTTTTTTTTTTTTTTTTTTGAATTAAGTCATTGTGAATTGTTTGAGTGACAAGGGTGAAAAATTGTCTTAATTATCTTTAGTATTTCTGCAATGC